GAGTCGGCCGGTGGGGGTATGTGGCGAGGTGGGCATGGTTCAGCGAGGTCTGCACCGGGAGAGAGAGGCAGGAGACGAGCTGTGTGTAAGTAGGTCAAGCGCAAATGATAAACACCTGTGTCTCGTTTCAGTAATTGGTGTGGAGAGACCGGATAAAAGGGGCCACCTGGAGCATGTAAAGAGAGAGACTGACTGGGAACTTGAGCCACACAGGGAGACTGGTTGCGGGAGCCGGAATTGTATGCAGATTTATATTCTGAGTTATTTAATAAGTGATTGAAAGTGCAGTGGGCTCCACTTCTTTTGTTTGTGCCAGAGAACCTCAAATAAAACACGAGTCCCAGTCACGCCGACCCTGTCTTCTACCTTCCACTCTCTTGAACCTTATCACAGTCATGCTGTTGTTTTAGTTGGATGTCAAACCTATCTATGTCAAAAGTATCTTAAGATACCAATGTGTGTAATCATGAACACTCTTTGAAGTCTGGTTTTAATTGCAGGAGCTTGCAGCACTGATCACCTTTTTTTGTTTGTTTTTTTGTGACCAGATATTCTGTTACAATTATGCAAATGTAAGATCAAAATAACACATTTAACTGATCTGGATATAAATGCATTTAATTAATTATTGTTTACTTAATTATTACTTTGTATATTGCATTAATTTTATATTCGTTTGTAGCCTATGATGTATAATTTAAAAGCTATTGTGTGTGTTTTGTTGCCATTTGCCTAATTTTAACAATATCTAGTCACAAATTCTAGTTGAGGAAAACAAAGTTTGAATAGTGCTACAAGCTCATTTTCAAGTTCCATTGACATCCAGGGGCCCTATTAGGATTATTTATTCATTCATTTAGTTTTATTAACTTAACTGTTTTGCAAATTTGCCTGTTGGTGGCGATTATGTATACATTTTGTATACGATTGGTGTAAAAATGCAGATTTGTAAAACAAAGGCATGAGGCTCCACTCCTAACATAACCCTCGGTGCATCGAGAGAAGATCGTAGGAAAAGGTATGAATGGGATTTTACAAATTTATTTAAATACGCCTCTAATTGCCGTGAGACCGCTTTGTTTCTCCTCATCCTTTCATCACTCGACACATTCAATTTCTTGCCTCGTTTTCCTTTCGGCTCTCTTTTAATTCTTCCATATAGGACCTAAACATTCCTAAACGCACACTCATCGTTATTTTAGACTTAACGTCAGTTAACTGTGGTACATGTCAATTATAAAACAACTGGCGAACGTCAATTTATTTGATGAATGCGAGTAGAATTAGTCAAAGGTAGCCCAATCTAGAGTGTGGAGATAGGAGGAACGGTTGATGTGAGGCGGGGCAGGAGGAGTGTAAACATCGCCTGTGTTCTCACTGAGGTAGTCTTCCCTCAGTGTGACTGTAGATGTGCTCGTAGCACCGGATTATCCAAACAGAACGCTGCACGCGCGCGCTACCAACGCGTCACATCTCACCAAAGTGCATGACAGAACCAGAGCAGAGCGAGAAGAAAACACCAACAGTTACCCGTTCCTGAGTCCTCCAGGCTAACAGGTGAGATCTGTGTAGGTTAGTTTGCACGTGTGTCTTTTCACATCATATGCCATAGATTCATACTTGCATTAAAGCTTTCCTAATGTGTTCAGTGTAATGTGTTTGAAATTGCTCCAGGCATCTTTCTTTTTCTTTCTTTCTTTCTTTCTTTCTTTCTTTCTTTCTTTCTGCATGACTGTATGAGTATGAAGCACACAATGATAAAAAAATTTAAATCAGCAAATTATTTATTTTTTATTGAGCTGTAAGTGCGTTAAGCTCAGGTACATTCACCTGTTATCAAATGCACAGTTTACTCAGAAGATGTCTGTCTTTCAACTCTTTTCCTGTAATACTAAAATGAAATAGTAATAATCAATGAAAAAAAAAAAAAAAATTGAAATTTAATTTAATTTTCAGTGGAATCTGGGGTCAAGTGTGAGTGGGTATTTATTTATTTATTTATAGGACTAAGACTGCTTGACTAATGTGTGATTTTAAGAGATGTGTGAGAGAGCCTTCATGCAGATAATCCATTATGTTCATTCTGTTGGACTTCAAAAGGCTCCTGAGTGCCAAAAGTACAAGTCCCCCATTCATTGTGTTAAGGGACCTGTGTGTGTGTGTGTGTGTGTGTGTGTGTGTGTGTGTGTGTGTGCGCGTGCATAGTTGCATAATGTGTGCACAAATGTGTTTATGCAGTAATAATGTCACAGATTAATCTATTTTTATTCAAACCTTTAAACTAAACAAACAGGTTAAAACTATTTGGAATTGACCTTTATTGAAGCTGAAAAAAGGGGAGCTTATTTTTGCAGGTTTTTTTATACTTTGATTTGGAAAAACAATTGTGGATTATGAAGTATTCTGTGTCAGATGGAGACCCTTCTGTGATATCCTCCCCCACTCGAGTCATATCAGAGCCTTGAGTCAAAGGCTAGCCGTGAAGGCAGGTGTGATGGGGCTGAAATTAAGGCCGGGGGTTGGTGAGCTCAGTCAAAATCAATATAAAGTACATCCCCAGGGAAGTAGAGCATAGCTGTAAATTCTTCAGCTATAAATAATGAAAAAAATAATAATGCAGGTATCTCTGTTTTGAATGGGGGAGTTATAGTCAGTTTTATTGTATTGAGTATATATACGCTGTTAGGTGAAGACTGAGTAATTGGGGTAGGCTTGTGTTTTTGGATACTATAAGCATCGTAACCCGCTCGCATGCATTCTGAACACATTTCCATTACTGAAGATTTGTCGGCTCACAGAAGACTACTGAGGAGGAAGAAATGAGACCAATTAAAGTGAAAAGCAGGATGCTGAAAAATAGTGGATACATGGTGTGAGAGAGAAATTTAAAACAGCTTAAGGGGTGTTAGAAGTGAAAAGATGAAGGAAAGAAAGGCCGAGAGACAGACAAATGTGTGTGTTTTTAGGCTTGAGTAATCCTCCTGGGAACACGCCTGTGCTGCCAAAATGCCATCCAACTCCTTTCTCTCTGCGCTCTTCATCACTCCATTCTTCCTCCTCCATCTCCGTCTCTCCATAGCCTAGGTAGGCTTCAAATAAATTTTTCATGACAATGGGTAAAGATGGCGTCTTGCTCTTTTAGCTGTCAGATCTCTTGTCTTCTGAAGTGCTAAAATCATTCCCGTGTGGCACATTGACAGGATTTCCCATCGCAAGACGAGCACCTCAGAGCTGGACTCCTAGACACTAGATATCCATCTGTGTGGCGTTCCACAGTGTTTAACTGAATCGCTGCGCGCTTTTATCAGCAATGAAAAGATTAATTCATATGCAGTCTTGTTTTTATTGTAAAAACATGTACAATTCCGAATTGAATGCTACCCTAATTCAGGTCTTTGATATTCAGTGTTACAGTATTTCCTTTAGCGATTCAGTGATAATGCAACAAGTAATAAATATACAAAATCACGCATCAAATATCCACACATTCTGCAAACATATGTATGGTCGCAGGATGATCAAATAGTGACTAGGAAGATCAGACATGTTCCATCCAGGCCATTACTGTGGCATAAACTCTATTTTATACATGCAGCGTTTTTGTGAAAATAACAAACAGCCCTCTTCTTCTCTCCCCGGCTGCATCATTTGTGAGTCGCATCGTTTGATAATTGTGATTGTTGTGAGTGAAATCCAGGTCTGCGTGAGGACTGTTGACTTGTCTGGCTTAGCTGTGAATTCTCTGAATGAATGCAGAGGGGCCCAGTGTTGTGTTCTGTAAAGTTGGTTCTTCAACACACACACTCCCAGAATCGAACGATGTCAATCAGTGTGTCCACACTACAGTTTGTGCATTGTGCAGCCATTAGCGGGAAGATTAACATTCGGATCCATAAATCACACACTGGAAGAAAGGTCTGATTTTTTCCCTCTCTCCTCATCACTTGTTGGCAGTCCTATCCAGTCCCATCCCAACCTCTCCTCACCTCAAAGCCACCATTTCCACTCCAGACTCTAATAGGCCTTTAAGGTAGCTTTGTGAGCATCTTTGTGTGCGCTGTCGGAGATCGCAGGGCATTAATTTCTCTCTTGAGCATGTAAATAAGCGAGTGTGTGGGAGCGCAGAGCCGTTACTCACTTCATCCGAGAGAGCTTTATCTCCCTGGCCTTCTCTTCACAGACACGCATGAGAATCTCAGCAGCACACACAATGCCAGCTCTCATAATGGCACCCTATGCCCATCTCCATCGGCTTCCGGAGGGCCTCCATCTCTGTCTTCTCTCCCCCTTCCCATGGCCACTGGGGGAACACAGGGGCGCGTTGTGTTTACCTCCGGCTGTGGCCAACGGAACACAAAACAATCCCGTTCATTGCCTGTTTGTCAGCCCCGAGGCTTTTGAAAGCCAACGAAAAGGAGAGATGAGAAAACAATTAAAAGCCCCTCCTGAACACTGCAGTAACATTTTCCCAGCTCAGGGAGCCTGTGAACAGGGACGGAGCCTCTAAACTGCTCCATTATTTCTCAGTACTTGGCATGATGCTAGAGCTGCTTGTGTTTGAATGGACGACTCCACACAGAGGCCTTTTGTGGGGAAACTTGGCTCAGCACGCATGCACTGCTTAATTAAGATTTCTCTATCTATCTATCCATCTATCTATCTATCCATCCATCCATCCATCCATCCGATCAGGTCAACTGATGGCCACGTTCCATTATTATAAAAGTAATGGTGTAATGGCAAAATAGTGTTAAATATACCACACAAGGCTGTTTTAACTATGAGTTTAAAATCCTTTTGTACATACCTTTTCATATGCAACATTAGGGTTAGGGCCCAGGTGTAATTGTGCCACAAATAAATGTACTGTATACATATAAATGTGCATATTCTTTTTACCTACTGTTGAAATATGTATTTAAAAAGCTCCAATGTACCAATAAGTACATATCACTGCAGTTTCCAAAAGAAATGAACACTAGAGGCAGTAAAACGCCGACACCTTTTATTCCTTTTCACACAAGTTTACGGAGTTTCGATTAATAAAGCGTAATCTTCGCACATTTACTTGAAGAATATTATGTTATGACTTCAAAACAATTTTAATATGCTGGGTGATTTGAAAACTGATGCTTTTGAACGTTATCACCGCACATATCCAGCTTCATATCTATGGGTTTTCATCGACAGTAGGTTTGTTTGGTAGCTCACGGAGTACGGAGAAGTACTTGAGAGGCGAGGAGCTCCGGTTTGAATCCTGTGCAGTTCGACAAAATAGTTCAAATCTGTGTATAAGGAAGTTCAAATGGCACGGTTGCATCAACAAATGCGTTTTTATATCAGCTTTGCATTTGTTAACACTATCGGGTAGGTTTAGGGTTGGGTTTGGTGTAGGGCATATTTCCAACACGACAGAGCATTAACTTTTAGCGACAGTCCCCAGATATTTGAATTCTGAACCACCGCTATACGTACCTGAAGCAACGTAATAAAAACACAGCAATACGTGCCTATATCCACGTAATAAAAACGTGCCAGGGTTCACGTATTGAACCCGTGTTTTAGCGTTTATATCAGCTTTGCATTTGTTAACACTATCGGGTAGGTTTAGGGTTGGGTTTGGTGTAGGGCATATTTCCAACACGACAGAGCATTAACTTTTAGCGACAGTCCCCGGATATTTGAATTCTGAATCGCCGCAATACGTACCTGAAGAAACGCAATAAAAACACAGCAATACGTACCTATATCAACGTAATAAAAACGTGCCAGGGTGGACGTATTGAACCCGTGTTTTAGCGCCACTCAGTGGACATTTCTCTTTGAAACTGCGGCGAAACGTGCAGTAAAGTACGTAAAAACGGTGTTGCAGAAAAGTACCCAGAGGTACGTATTTTTATGAGACCAGGTTGATTTTAGGCCTTATGGTTGATGTAGTCCTTATGAAACACCACCTTATAGACTACAGCAACCTGCACTTCAAGAGAGTGCCGCAAAATGTCAAAATTAGATTATAAATCAACAATGTTCGATCACGTCTCCTGCGCATCCTGCCTTATTAAACGCAGTTTAGTGCTTTCAGCTCAAGCCAGCAGAAGTGAATGGTGTTGAGTATATGCAGTATAGTGATTGTGAAGTGAGTAGTATACACGAGCGACAGGGCTCTGTTGCACTGCTGTAGACATGCTGTGTGCTTTTGATCGGTGAAATTAGTAAATCTAGCAAAGCTAGGTTAAAATCTTACCATCACAGCAGTAAATATCAGAAATAAGAATTACGCTAAATCAGTATCAGCTACTGGACCATTATTTAAGTGATGGGTGCTTTTGAAACACTTGTTTCAATTTTATAGCAGGTTCTATTTTAATGTCAAACGAGGAGTGATTGTTAATTGATAATAATTGGCTAGCCAAGCCCTTATAATTTTTAATGTCCTCATCTTTATTTATGTCAGGGGTGGCGAACGTCAGTCCTGGAGAGCCGCAGCCCTGCAGAGTTTTGCTTCAACCCTAATCAAACACACCTGAACAAGCTAATCAAGGCCTGAAGGGTTACTA